GGAGGATGGAGCCGGATTCCGAGGGCTTAGGACGCTGAGAGGACACTTACCCTGCCCGGGATCAGGTCGGAAAGGAAGGGCGCAGAGGATTGTGGGAGAATCTAATATCCGGACCCTGGTACTGCTTCCGGGTCGCGCATGCGCAGGAGCGGCAGGCGACTGCGTGACAATGCTAAGAGGGAGGAGGGAGGAAGGACGGAGGAGTGGGAGGGGGAAGGAGAAGGAGGCGGAGTGTCTGCCAGCTCAGCGTCCTACGTCACACGGTGGGCGCGGGGCAGAGGAAAGCAAACTCTTCTCGCCTTACTAGCCACGTTTCTAAAGTTATTTTACGTTATACCCGTTAAGCTAAACTGATCCCTTTCTTAGGGGCCAGCCTTCACGAATAAAAAAAGTCCCTGACCAAGAGTTGGTTCCCGGTTGTTATTGTTGCCCAGCTCACTATTCATCTCCCATCTCCGAGCCTTTGCATGGTCCCCCATATTGGGAATGCACTCCTTTCCTTCCACCCCTAGAATTCCTATCTTCCATCCATGCTTAGCTCAGGAAGCCTTCCTTCCCTGATTTCCTCTCATTGCTTGAACTATCTCTTTCCTCAAATAGCCCAGCATTCACTTACCTGTTTACATAATTGTCTCTCTTCTCCCTGTCAATCAGTCAGCTTCCGAGATAGGAGGTGAGCTTTTTGAGGGCAACGACTGTTTCCTTGTTGTCTTTGTGTCCTCAGCTCGGTACTTTGTGAGGGAGGGAGGATAGAGAGACAGACAGATAGAGAGAGACAGGCTTCTGAATGGAAATGACTGGGCCCAGGTGGCTTTAACCTCTTCTTTACCAATGTCTCTTGCAAACTTCAAAGCCCCTACTACATGGTTGCTGCTCCCATGAAGCTAGATTCCTCCCTTAGTATGGACCTCTTCGTTGCTTCTATACCTAAGTGGACTTCGAAATGTATGCCTTCTACCTCTCTACTATTCACTCCACTCCCATAGATTCAATTATCACCAATTATCACCAATGATGGTGATTGATAACCTCAATGATGAGGGTTATCAAATTTACTTCTCCAGCCCTAACCTTTCTACTGACCTCCAGTCTCACATCATCAGCTGCCTAAGATGTCCCAGGATATGTTAAACTCCACACCTCTTTATCTTACATTTCCTTTCCACCCAGATTTCCCCCCTCTTCCTGTCTTCCTTATTACTGTTGAGGGTACCACCATACTCCCTCAGACTCAATTCCCAGGTGTCATTCTCAACTCCTCACTCTCACCCCCATTATCAAATCTGTTGCCAAGGTCTATCTATCTATTTTACCTTTGACCTCATGTACACCCCACTTCTCTCCTCTGATGCTGCCACCACTTTGGTACAGGCCATCCTCATCTCCTGCTTGAGAAATAGTCTGTTGGTAGATCTGTTTACCACAGGTTTCTCTCCACTCAAGTTCATCCTCCATTTAGCTTGTGATTTTCCTAAAACCCAAATCTGACCATGTCACCCCCTCATTCAGTAAACTCCAGTGTCTCTTTATCAAGCCCAGGATCAAATATAAAATATTCTGGCATTCAAAACATCACCCCCACCTTCTAACATTCCTACAGATATTCTGTGACCCAGTGGCACTGGCCTCTTGGCTGTTCCTCAAACAAAACAGTCCCTCTTCAAATCTGGGCATTTTCACTGGCTGTCCCCCGCACTTGGGATGCTCTTCTCCTTATCACCAACTTCTGGCCTCCCTGGCTTCCTTCACATTCCAGCTAAAATCCAGCTTTCTACTGTAAGCCTTTCCTTAATTCTATTGCCTTCCCTCTGTTGATTATTTCAAATTTATTCTGTATGTAGCTTGTTTATACAACTGTTTACATGTCTCCTTCATTAAACTGTGATCTCCTTGGAAGCAGGAACTGTCTTTTACCTTTCTTTGTATCCTGAGCGCTTAGCCCAGTGCCTGACACTCAATAAATGTTTACTGATTAAAAGACTAATCTTGTGTCAGCCTCACTACTGTATCATGAGGACGGGGACTCTTGTGCTGCATCTTATCTAAACTTTATAAGAACCCCAATGCCAAGCATAGTGTTTTGAGATGCTTAAGCTATGTTTATTGAATAAATGAGAAACTCTAGTATTTACACGGGAACAATACATGGAATTTCCTCCCTGCACCTCCCCACCAACTAATAATAATAATGCTTTCACAGCCTTTCTCACAGGCTTATTACGGTGCCTCAGTCCCTTTTCTGTAAAATGATCGATAATACTTGCAATACCTACCTCACAGAGTTAGGTGGAAAGTGTTCCTCTTGTTTCTAATTTAAAAGTTTTTGAAATATTGCAAAAGATTGGTGCTACAAATATAAACAAAATGTGGTTCTTTACTTTAAAGATTTTATAGTCTAATAGAGGAAATAAGGCACTTACCTGCAGAACTCAATATGACAGATGCTTAAGAAAAGCAACGATGATTCCAATTACTTACAGCACTCTCATGTTCAATCAGTAGCCAGATCCTGTTCATTCCATATTCTACACTACATCTTTCTCCACCAGGTGGAGTTCCAGGAAGACTTCTCTTGGAAAGTGGTACCAGAGCCGAGACTAGAATAAAAGATAAGGATTCAGAGAGCCTGGAAGTGAGGAAGAAGTGTGTTCCCTTGTCCACACTCTGGATTCAAATCAAATTGGACAATGCTCTTTCTTAACTCCCCCAAATACACTGTATTGTTCACTTGTTTTTAAGTTGTGTCCAACTCTCTGTAACTCCATTTGGTGTTTTCTTAGCAGAGATACTGAAGAGTTTTGCCATTTCCTTCTCCAGCTCATTTTACAGGTAAGGAAACTGAGACAAACAGGGTTAAGTTACTTGCCCAGGGTCACACAGCTAGTCAGTGTCTGAAGCCAAATTTGAACTAAGGAAGATGAGTCTTCCTGACTCCAGGCTGAGCATGTTAGCCTCTGTACCACCTAGCTGCCCCAAAACACTGTGCTCCTTACCTTCGTTCAGACTTCTCTGTGCTTGGAATGCCTTCTGTCTCCCTCTTTGCCTGTTGCTCAATGTCTCTTGTGGCAGCTAAGATGGAGTACAGGGTCTGGAGTCAGGAAGACTCATCTGGCCTCAGACACTTACTAATTGTATGACCCTGGGCAAGTCACTTCACCCTGTTTGCTTCAGTTTTTCATCTATAAAGTGAGCTGGAGATGGAAACCGAAATCCACTCTAGTATCTTTGCCTGGGGTCTAGAAGACTGAAGAACAACATCTCTTCTAGGAAAACTTTCCTGATAGCTTGAATTGGTAACAATTTTCTCCTCAGGCTTCAGATAGCAATTAATCAATCAACAAGCATTTATTAAGCACTTACAATGTACTAAGAGGCACTGTGTAAAATGCAATAGATAAAAAGACACAAATGAATGTAAACTCTCTCAAGGACTCTACATTCTAAAAATAGTGCTTTGTTTTGTACCTTTCAAATGAATCAATTTTCTCATGTGAGATTGTCTATTATAGTTATAGATGTTGGTATTTCACCTGGAAATCTGCCTGCCCCTCCTCCCACTGCACATCAGTTAGCAGTCCAGGGATAAAGACCCTTCTGACTACACCCCACCCCCCAAATACACTCGCACTCCACCAACTCTCCCCACCCTGAAGGAAATAATTTCCTCAATTTTGAATTTTGGATTAAGTCCCGAGGTAGAGTTCACAGGCCTGAGGTTATCCTCAGTACCTCAAACCTGCCTTACCTCCCTCAATAATTAGCCTGTCACCAAGACTCCATACCACCCTCTGCCTTGTTGGTGGTGGTGGTCCTGTCTGACTCTTCATTTTACAGATGAGGAACTGAGGCAAACAGGGTTAAGTGACTTGCTCGTGGTCACAGGGCTAGTAAATGCCTGAGGCCAGATTTGAACTCACAAAGATGAGTCCTCCAGACTCCAAGCTTCAAACTCTATCCACTGTACCACCCTGATGCCTTAACTCTCTAGGCTGCCACACCTTTATCAGAGTTTTTAATAATCAAATCAACACTACCTCGGGTAGAGGAGGGGTAATCTACTGCCCCAGGGCTCAAGCTCCCTTTCCAGACCACCACTCCCAGCTCTCTCATACCCATCCCAACAGACCAATCCTTCTGGTGTCCCTACCCTACTTTCCCCTTCCCTTCGCCCTTTGGAGACCTGTTTCCATTGTTTAAAAAACAAAACAAAGCAAAACAAAACTGCCTTTCCTATTAAACCTGTGCCCTCTCCTTGGAGACTACTTTGTATTCTGTTTATACTTACATATGGTCACATTGTTTCCACCTTAAGCATGGTATTTAAGGCTGCTAGGTGGCACGATTGTGCACAGGTCTCTGGGCCTGAAATCAGGACAACTTGAATTTCAATTTGCCTCAGGTACTACCTCCTCTGTGACCTTGGGCAAATCACTTAACTTCAGTTTGTGTCAGTTTCCTCATCTGTAAAATGTGGATAATAATAGCATCTATCTCATAGGGTTACTGTGAGGATCAGTAAAGCATTTAGCAGAGTGCTGTGCACATAGTAGGTGCTATATAAATGCTTTTTCTTCAGTTGTGTCCAACTCTGTGTTTTCTTGGCAAAGATACTGCAGTGGTTTGCCATTTCCTTCTCCAGTGTATCCTCATTTTACAAATGAGGAACTCAGGCAAATAAAGGTTCAGTGACTTGCCCAGGGTCACACAGCTAGTAAATGTCTTAAGTTGGATTTGAACTCAGATCTTCCTAACTCCAGGCACTGTACTCTATCCACTGCACCACCTAAATGCCCATGTAAGTTCTAGTTATCATCAGTCAATCCTCCTCTTCCTCCTCCTCCTCATCCTCAGCCCACCTTGAGGGCAGGTACTATTTTGTTGCCTTGTTCAGGTTCTTATGCACTTAATAAATACTTATTGAATTAAATTGAAAACCAATTATTGGATTGTAAAATCCATGATATTATCAAAAGATATTATGTATTATAGAGCACTCAGCAAACTTCAAAACACCATAAATGTCAATTATTATTATGAAGGCAGAAGTTGTGTCTCACTTGAACTTTCTCTCTCTCTCTCTCTCTCTCTCTCTCTCTCTCCCTGCGTGTGTCTGTCATTCTGTCTCTGTCTCTGTATCTCTCAAAGCATAGCACAGGATTCTGAATGCAATAAATTGCTAATAAATTTTTTGGGGGGAAGGAGGTGAAATGAGGAAGGGGAAGCCAGACCTCTGATTTAATTGATGTTGGAAGCTCCTAGTGAGGGATTTTCTCTACCAATACAGGCAAGCACCTTCTACAATTTAAAATCTAATTGGGGCACTAAGTAAGTAGCTTACCCAAGATTACTCAGTATATGTCAGAGATCAGGATTTGAACCCCAGTCTTCCTGACTCTGTGAGGCCAGCTCTTTTTCCCAGCCACCATGCCACCCTGCCACCCTGCCTCTTGTGTTTGTTGTTATTTTTGACTGTCGTGTGCTGAATAGATTTGAATAAAAAGAGACTGGAGTAGTCAGAAAGGCTACCACGAAAATGATTAAGCAAGGAGAGGTTGTAGGGCTAGACTGGGGCAGGTATGGAGCAGAAGGGCAGGCACATTTTAAGGAATGAACAGCTAAATTTGACAATGGCCTGAACATGTGGAAATGAGACAGAACAGTGAATCTAAAATGTCTAAATTGTTCATCCTGTATGATTGAGAGAAGGGTGGTGCTACTGAAAGGAAAATTGAGCAGGGGAGCTGATTTGGGGTGGGGGGGAAGGATGAGGGGAGATGATGAGTTTAGATTAGAATATAATAAGTTTGAAGTAATCTGCTAAGACACATAGTAATGAGACACATAGTATACGTACTGAAGCATTTTTAAGGTGGTAAGACAATTGTGAATATCAACTAGGTAGGTGCAAATACTAAAGGGAGATAATAAACTTCTCTTGAGTTTTATTCTGGAAAAAAACAGAACTGTTTTGCATGCACCAGAAGGCTATATATTTCAGCTCCCTGTTTAATGAACCATGTTAGGCTGATGAAAGCTTACTTTCATCATCATGCCCATATGCAGAGGGAGGAATAAACATCGTG